ATATGCTAATTTTTTGGGACAGGCATTTTGGGTTTTCATGAGCTGTATGCCATAATCATCAGTATTAAAACAATTAAAGACCTGAAATATTTCAGTTGGTGTGCAATGAATCTGAAATATATGAAAGTTTCATTTTTATCATTACATTATGGAAAATAATTACCTTTATCACAATATGCTAATTTTTTGAGAAGGACCTGTATGTGCTGTAAGTTGTTTATTCTTATGTAAATTGTGTGTGTACATTTTTATATCTGCATAATAAAATTTTAGTTTTTGTATTTGGTTATTTTCTAAATTTATTTCTGTTTATAATAAGTAAACGTTTTAATTTTGTTTTGATTGAAGAGGACTCGGATTTTCATACCTTTTGCTTTTATTTGTGGAATTGGTTTGAAATGCAAATTGCTAATTGATTGGTTTATTTAAGGCTGTCACTCTTATTGGTGTCCAGTTCTCAAGATGTTAAGTATAGATTTTGTTCATATGTCTTTCAGCATACATAAATGCTGCTTGAACATTTGTCATTTCAGTCCAGCATGCACAACCTCAACCATTCATGCTAAGAGCCATTGGCTTTAAAAGTATTTCCTGACATTTGTTTCAGGATGAGTCTGGAGCCCACTTAGATTCTTCTGCTGGGGTTGAGGATATAAAACCAAATTGTGTGTCAAGTTCCTCTGCAGCTCTTCATCCTCCAGCTGGACCAAAGAAGAAGAGGCACCGAATTCCTCGGCAAGACAAGGACAAAGACCAACAAGTTAGTGAATAATTCAGTCTGTTGTTGTCCACAAGGCTGCGTGTGTTACAGTACAGAATGATTAAACGTTTAAACAATTAACGGTGTAGAGTAATCCTTTTCAGGTAAACAAAATTATTGCTTCTTTTTCTCAGGTTGAACCAGATGTTTCTGTTCTGCCAGAGACACAGTTTGGAGAAATGTCGAGTCCAACATCTCTGTCGCACTGATCAGCACCCTGGATATAATGGAGATGATGATGGAGTCAGGCTTTACATAATTTTTGTTTCACTTTAAGACTACAAATTGATCTAATCTGTGTAAATGCATCTGCTTTGTTTTGGGGGTTTTTTTTCTTCACTTTTTATAGTTTATACTGATAAATGCATAATTATGTGTACAGTTTTGTGTACAGTTACAATATGGAACAGAATGTCATCAATATTACAAATTATGATCAAACAGACAAAGCATCACTATATAACACATTTGTTTTTTCAGTATTTTGTTGTTTTTGTTAGATTGGTTATAGCTCAGCTTCACATACAATGTTTCAGGCAAAATAAAACAAGCTTTTTTATATGTGTTTGGTCAATTATTATAGAATTATTATTATTTATTATGTGATGGTTTGTCACAACAGAAGACAAAGTTATAATGCAAAAATGGATAGAATTTCACAAATGACCAAATTACCTTTCTGTCTAAATGACAAATGTATGCATGTTCTCACGTAAAGATATTTTGTACAGAAAGACGAGACAGAAAATGGAATTGGACCTTTATTCTTCAATCAAAACTCTGACAACTGCTGAGCCAATAGTCGAGCTTTATGTTGGAGTGATCGATGTAACTTCTGCCCAATCAGATCTCTTAGAAAAGATGTGTGGGCGGGGTTTGATTTTGGAGGTGGGATTTTAGCTACCGTCCATCTTCAGCTACATTACTGTGAGCGAGCTTAACGAAAAGAAAACATTTTGGAAGTAAAGAAGACTTTCTGGAAGTAGTTTTGGCTGTATTTGAAATAAGATAACCGAAATCCCATACTCTAGGTAAATGTCGTACACAAGTATCAATGTAGACAGTCGGGTCGACCCAGTTTCCCTTTTTCCTTAATTTGGCTAGCTAAGCGGCTAGTTAGCATGTTAGCCATATTAGCTAGCATACCGTCGATTAGAACTAATTCTCGTTTTATGTGGCTTTCACAACGTAAAACCATCTCATGAAAACTATTCTAGACCCCAGAGTAATGATGCATGAATGTTAAAAGCATAAATGATTTTTCAGGATGCTTGTTTTAGAAAGGACCGGTTGCTAACCGAGCGAAGTGCACGAACAACTGACCAGTGTTAACGTTAGCTTGCTAGTCTGCTAATTTTAGCTGACATCTATATCAGGACCAATTGATGATATTAGTGGGATAATATAAGTTGTTCATATATAACCACCAGGAGGCTTCCATATACGTGTTTTTGACGAAAATAATTTAGTTCTGTAGCGGATGTGTTAAGTTGTGCTGCTTATGACAACTGTCCAGCTGGATGGAGTTAACGTCAGTTTCAGTCGCTGCAGCCCGGTGTACGGCTCCTGCTGTTGGTGGGAGATTTGTCTCGCTTAAACGCTGAATTTACACATGTTTATTTTGTTGCATAGCCGACTTCTTGACAGACGGAATGTGGACATTGTCGTAGTCAGAGCCATGGCTGACAAGAGAAAACTACAAGGTAAAACAAGTCTGTGAAACTGTTCATGTTGCCCAGGATAAGTCACTATCTAGCTTGTAGTCCTAGATACTTTCCCATTTATACATCTAATATGAGCTATTATTCCACATCTTCTACCTCTGTAGGTGAAATTGATAGATGTTTGAAAAAAGTAGCTGAGGGTGTAGAGCAGTTTGAAGATATTTGGCAAAAGGTAAGAGACTTACACATCATTTTTTTTTAATGGGATTTTCTAACTAAAGCATCAGATCCACACTTTATTGCGTATGCATCTGCTTTTCAGCTCCACAATGCAGCCAATGCAAACCAGAAGGAAAAATACGAGGCTGACCTCAAGAAAGAGATTAAAAAACTACAAGTAAGACAAGTTGATACAGCCTTTTTTTATTTTATTTTACCAAAATAAGTGCTGGTGTGCAGAATGGACTGTGCTTTAATGTTCATCTTCTGTGTTCTTCCAGCGATTGAGAGATCAAATTAAAACGTGGGTGGCCTCAAACGAAATCAAAGACAAAAGGCAGCTAGTTGAGAACCGCAAACTTATAGAGACGGTATGGTGTTTAGAATATACTTCTTTTTTTTATTTTTAGCTTTTGTCCTTGCATGCATTCATGGAGCTGGTCTTTTCTTTATTATAGTATGCTCAACACCTCCTCATCACGCTTACTACACAGCTGGTAAAAAAAAAAAAAAAAAATGCATGCGGGTGATAAAACTAACCAGAAACATTTAGTTCTCAAATTGTAAATGACCTTTTCTGTCACTGCTGACGTCATTTATATCTAAAACTTATCACAAGAATGGTTCGAGATAGGAAGATAGAGAGAGAACTGCTTCTCCTGCAGTTTCATGGTTGCTAGAACAAAATATTTTACCAATGTACTGGTAATTGGTTTTCTGACAATAAGGAACACAAATGACACCAACACATTTCTGAAATGTTAAGAAAGGACTGAGTGCTTTGGGGGGAAGAAAAAAACCCCACCAGATGCAGTGCTTTTTTTTTTTTTTCCATAGGCTGCTGTTACGTTCTCTCTATTTTAATTATCATAATCAAAATAAGACCTTGATTTTTACGGTGAAAATAATGAGACTTATCCGATTGTTTATTGTTTTTAGCAAATGGAACGGTTCAAAGTGGTGGAGCGTGAAACAAAAACAAAAGCATACTCTAAAGAAGGCTTGGGGCTTGCTCAGAAGGTGGATCCAGCTCAGAGGGAAAAGGAAGAGACGGGACAGTGGCTAACAGTAAAATATTCACATCTATTTAAAACATTATGTCATCCTATGTTTATTTTAAATGCTAGTTTCATCACAAGGGAAGGAAATCAAGAAAATGTTAAGATTTGAAACTCTAAAATCAGTTTTTTTTTTTAAATAAATGCTCATGTTTACATTAACACTTTTGTCTTCCTCCTGATTTTCAGAATACAATAGACACACTAAATATGCAGGTGGATCAGTTTGAGAGTGAGGTAGAATCTCTTTCAGTCCAGACACGAAAAAAGAAAGGCGATAAGGAGGTAAACCCATCCACCTTTTACAACCATGCAGTGCTGCTTGTTTCTATTCTAGTGCAATAAACATTTTGCTAAATTAAATGTGTTTCTTTTTCTTGTGTAGAAACAAGACCGCATCGATGAGCTCAAGCGGTTGATTGAGCGGCATAGATTCCACATTCGCATGTTAGAGACCATTTTACGAATGCTGGACAATGATTCTGTGCCGGTGGATGCAATACAAAAGATCAAGGATGATGTTGAGTACTACATTGATTCCTCTCAAGACCTGGATTTTGAGGAGAATGAGTTCCTTTATGACGACTTAGACCTGGAAGACATCCGTGAGAAAAGACTGCAAATATATATATTTTTTAAATTTCTTTCTTCGGGTTTGACGATGTCACCTGACAGCCTCTTGTTTTTCTTTTTGTAGCTGCAGCGTTAGTTGCAACTTCTCCGTCAGGTCAGGGCAACATGGAAGATGAAATGTACCTCCATTCGAGCAGCACTCCCACGTCCACCACATCTTCTTCACCAATCCCTCCATCCCCAGCTACTTGCACCGCAGTAAGTTCTAAATGTTATTAGCGTTTAAACATTTTTCAAAGTTTTATAGGGATGTTCAGTAGAAAAAGTACTTCCTGACATATTGCACATATTTTCCACCTTAGTATGAATACAGTTTACTCTTCTATACCACTGGCTGGTATGCTGAATCAACTTTTCAAAGGTGGATTGTTATATCAAGGTATCTCCTCCTATAGGAGAACTCAGAGGACGATAAGAAAAGGGGACGGTCGACAGACAGTGAAGTTAGTCAGGTGAGAGGCTCACATCTGTGCTGTGTCAGTAGTTAAACAGTGTAGTGCAGCATTCTTCACCCTTGGTCCTGGAGACTCACACTGGCTGGAGTATTTTTTTTTGTTTTGCTTGTTTGGTTGGCTTCTTTGCACTGAAATGAAACAAGCTTTCTCTGTGGGGCCACGGTTGGAGATTTCTGATTATACTTTGCTATTTCCTGCACAAATGGGATTCTGTAGATTTCTGTAAAACTTTGTGCTTTTTTTTTCTCACTTTGCACTTCTGTAATTGCCTTCTTGGACAGTTATTTGAGATTGTTTTGTGTTTCATTTCCAGTCGCCAGTGAAGAATGGCGCCCCATCTTTACAATCTTCCTTTTCTTCTTCCACCACCTCTGGGTCTTCTTCATCCTCTTCCCTTGTGTCCATGGCAAGTGTTGTTGGAGGCATTCTCACGATTCCCACGAGCAGTACTCTCATAGGAAGCTTTAGTAGCGCAGTACAACAACATCAGCATCAGTCTGCACAACAGCAGCAACAATCTCAGCAATCAAACCAACCACAGCAGCAGCAGCAACAACAGCCACCTCAGACTAAACCATCCGTTCCCTCGAACAACACCCCCAGCCCACCCAGCAACCCTCTTCTCCCAACATCCACTGTCCCTTCTTTAACCACACCCAGCACGCCCACTTCATCAGCTCCCAACTCTCAACCCATCTCCGGGCCCACTGCCGCATCCAGTTTGGGGCTGGGGCTGGATTTAAGAAAAGGTGGCATAACGGGGACCAGCAGTGCCAACCAAATGTCAAGTTTAGGCTTGACTGGCCACACCACTCCTTTAAACACAATGGCAGGCCTCATTTCAGGGTCCACATCTGCCCTTTATGCTCATGCAGCAGCATCTGGAGGTTTGGGCCTGAGCTGCACAACACAGTCCAGCATTTTAACAGAGAGCAGCACTTCCATCCCCACCTCAGGGTCAAGTGGAATCACCACCAATGGCACGGGGTCAGGGCTTAGTTTGCTAGGTTCCAACCAGGCACACAATTCTCTGAGTGGGAGTATTTTGAGTTTGGTCCCTGGGCAGGGCGTGGCCCCTGCTACCTCTCAGATGCCCCCAATTTCTGCCAGCACCACAGCCGGAGTAGTTGGTTTGATGGTTGGCAACGGAGGAAGTGTTGGTGGGGTTGGACCAGTAGGAGTGAATGCTGCTCCTGCTAGACCACCAAGTGGACTGAAGCAAAATGGAAGCACAAGTGAGTTAATGTCTTGTAATTTTTAAGTTGATTGTGGGTTTTATTTTACATGAACACTCCTAACCTCTGCCTTCAGGTTACAGTGCTGTAGTGGCAGAGAGCTCCACAGAATTGTCTCTTAGCACGCCAAACCAGTCACAAAACAGCCAATCCTCATCCCTCAGCTCCTCAACCAGCCAGCCGTAAGTCCTTTTCTTTCCTCCACTTTAACACCTGGGACTTCACATTTGTCTAGTTATTTTTTATTTTTTTGGTGCTTGGTGGTTTCTAATTTTGTCAAGTTAACTCTTGTCTTGTGCAGGATGGACAACGGTCCCAGTTTAATCAGCTCCATCACCCTGCCCCCCAGTTCTCCATCCCCCTCATTCTCAGACAGTACACCCAGTGGAGGGAGTCTTCTGAACGGGCCCCACTCTTATCCACAGGCCTCTGAAGGCCTTGAGGTGAGCCAAGCGGGTCATGTGAACCAATCAGATTAATGCCAGGTGTAGCAGCAGCCTCTTAATTTAGAGTAGGGAGAGATTTAACATCAGATGGGCACAAGCTGCTTGAGATGTTGAACAAAATGCTCTGAGAGTAATTATACAGTAATGGAACATCTGCCTTGATGCTCCAAGTTGTTGCCATTAGTACTTTGGATGTAAGAAGATCAATCTGTCATTGATTTTGTTCATTTTCTGTCCTAATTATTGTCAGGAGAAACTGATAGCAGACTTTTCTACACCAGACATTTCAACTTGTCTCAGCAGGATAATCACAGCTGAGGCTAATTTTGCTAACGACTGATCATTCCCATTAAAGCCACAGCAGTGAGCAGGACAGCAAAGTACTGGAATCCTTCGTTCAGCTCATCTAAATGCAGTAATTTTTAAGATATGAATTTTACCTGTCTTTTCTGCCATAAAAAGCCAAAATATTTGCAGTGAGAAAAGTATTAACAAACTTAGACATGTTTTATTTATTTACATTTTAATTAGTGACTCATCTGTCTTGTGTGGTTTCTAGTACTTTTCTTTGGTACATTACTGAAAGGTATTTATACGTTCAACTTTTAAGTATCACTTTAAATATATATATTTCAAGCTGCCCACAAACTTCTGTTTTTAGCCAAATTTACATCAAATGAAAAAGGGTACAGTTATGCAACAGCACTCGACTAGGAAACATGCCAAAAATACTTTTTTCTTTATAAACAGTAACTCCTCTAGTTTTTATTTTCTACAAGCACAAATAAGGCAGCAGTCACTGGTGATGTATAAATATAAATTGTGAAGAAATTGGATTTAATTAGCATGGAAACATTTCTTCTGCAATGAGCATTTAATTTTTGACAGTTTGGATCCTATTACTGTTTGCAACTGAGATAATTAGAAATTGGGACGGCTTGTGATTGTGACACTGTGAGGAGCTGTTGCTCAGAAAATAAGCTGTAACTGTGACAGATGCATGGTTTTTAATGAAGCTTAAGTACTAAAGGTAATTTTTTAAATATTTGTTTTTATTTTCATTTGTTGTGAGTTTTATGCTTTGGTATTTCTTCTTTATGAACACCTGAATGTTTATTTGACTTGGTATTTTATTACATGCATTTATCATGTTCCCATCATGTCCTCAGGCTCCTAAAGGCCTCAGTTCCCTGAAGGTGATGGCTGAGAGAGCAGCACTCGGATCGGGTCTAGACGGAGAGATTCCCAACCTTCATGTGACCGAGAGAGGTCTGAACGGTCAGGCAAAATATCCACACTTCTAAAACAATTATCACCCTGTAAACTTTTAATAATTTCAAGTTTCTGCAGTGTCTACAGCACAGCATTTCTTGAGTAAATGCCAAACAGTGTGTCATTGACAGCTGTGGTAGAGTTATTGTATTATGGTATTTAAGGCATTTCAATTGATTTGAGTTTTACATTTCAATGAAACATAAGGACTAGCTAGTCAGTAATGCCCGTGCTGTTTTAGTGTTCAGAGTTTAAACATTTTTAAATGGATTGTTGGATTAAAATGGTTAATGCAGTACATATATTACCTAACCAGATGTGATCATGTTTATTCCACCCTGAAGTGGTCTTATAAGACTGTCCTCCTCCCTTACCTGAACTTGTCTGACCATCGCTCCCTGCTCTTTGTACCTGCATATACCCCACAATGGAGGATAACTAAGCCAGTGGTTAAGACTGTAAATATCTGGCCTGAGGGAACACTTAATCAATTGCAGGACTGCTTCCAAATTACAGAGTGGACTATATTTTCCAACCTGGAACGACAGGAGCGAGCAGATGCTGTCATACATCAGATACTGTAGATGCTGTCACTATGGACAGAAAGATTCTGGTTTGTCCTAACCAAAAACCTTGGGATGACCTTAGTGGTGAAGGCACTCTTGAGTGCCTGGAACTCTGCTTGTAAGTCATGTGACAGAGTTCTGTACAGTACAGCAAGATCTGAACACAGGAGAGGCATCAAGGCAGCGAAGGAGTACAGGAGGAAAGTGGAATCGCATCTGGAGGACGATGACTCACATAGGGTGTGGCAAGGGATTCACCACCTGGCAAACTTCTTTGGAAACTTGCCAGTTGCAGTCGATGCGGCTGCCTCTCTAGCAGAAGAACTTAATCTCTTCTTCGCTTGCTTTGATTTACCAAGAGCTGCCACATCATTAGTGTCTCGGCCATCCTCCAGTCCTCTACCTCCCATGCTCCAGGATCAGCTTGTTCTGAAGGCTGTGAGCCTTCACAAAGCTGTTGGACCAGATGGTGTTCTGGGCAGTTGCTTCACGCATGTGCAGATCAACTGACAGGAGTCCTGACTGGGATTTTTAATGCATCCCGGTCCATAGACTACGTCGTCGCCACTGCTTTCTGCACAGCCCTGCACCATCTGGAGCTCTCGGGGACATGTTAGGATGCTGTTCATTGATGACAGCTCGGCTTTTAACACCATCATACCCAACATCCTGGTGGAGTAACTCTATGATCTGTATAATGCCCCCTCCCCTCCATCTGTTGCTGGATCAAAGATTTTTTTTGACAACCACAGGTTGTCAAAGTAATTCCACTCTGACGATCAGCACTGGCTCTCCCCAGGGCTTTGTGCTGAGCCCTCTTCTGTATACCCTCTACATGCATGATTCTGCCCCTCAAACTCTATCATTAAGTTCACCGATGACACCACTGTGATTGGGCTGATCACAGGATGATAAGTTAGTTTATAGAGAGGAAGTACAGGCGTTGGCAGAGTGGTGCACCAAGAAAAATCTGGAGCCCAATACTTCCAAGACCAAAGAGATGGTCATAGATTTCAGGAGGCAAAGAGGGCTCCATCATGCTCCTCTGACCATCAGTGGGACATGTGGAAAAAGTGTCCTTCAAGTTTCTGGGAGTCCTCATTACTGAGGACCTCACTTGGGTCACCAATACATCAGCATTGATCAGAGGCAAAGCAGAGACTCCACTTTGTACGGGTCTTGCGGAGGAGCCACCTTGGTGTGAAGCCACTGATGTCCTTCTATTAGGTCACCATAGAATCGGTACTGATGTACTGTCACTGTGTGATTTGCTGCTTGCTTTGCTGCTGACAGGACGGCCTTGCAAAGGGTAAACAGGACTGCAGAAAGGATTATCGGCTGCCCTTAGCCCTTGATGGAGGGCATCGCTTGGTTGCGTTGCCTCAGTAGAGCTCAGAGACTCTTCTGACACTTCCCACCCTGAGCAGCAGCTGCTTAACTTGCTGCCTTCGGGGAGAATGTTCAGGTCTTCAAAATGTAGAACAGACTGAAAAAGAACTTTCTACCATTAGAATCCTAAATGCTGCTGAATCGAATATCTACCTGGGATATTGATTACCCATTTTTAATGTAGTCATTTTATTTAACTATGTGTAATGCCCACTTATGGACGGTACATAGTTTCATTCTACTTTATTGTGTGAATTGTATGAAGATGAGTTTTCATCATAGGCACCTTACAGGAGCTGCACTTGTATTTTTGTTGTGTTTTTATGATACAATGACAATAGAAGGCGTTCTGCTCTGAACCTGGCTGTGAGGTGCTGTTATGGTTTCCTGTGTGACCATTTGAACATTTTCCTCATCCTACAGATATCTTCTCTGGTTCGTCAGCAGCGCCTGGTACGCCCGCTGCTCCTCAGCCGTCCGTGTCGGAGGTCAGTATCCCTCCGTTACTCGGGGTCTGTCCACTGGGTCCAACCCCTCTCCCCAAAGAGCAGCTGTACCAGCAGGCGATGCAGGACTCTGTGTGGAACCACATGCCTCACCCGTCTGACTCTGAGAGGATCAGGTGAGCAGCTCGCAGTTTTCAGTTTAGATTTTTCTGACATACTCTTTATGGAAGTCTAAAGTTGAGGTCAAGATCCCACTGCTGACACAAATTCAACTTAAAATAATTGAAAGATTTTTTTTTTTTGTTTGTTTGTTTTTGATAGCTAGACGTATTTTGTACACCAAAATGAGTTGTCAGTATGGGAAGGAGAAAGTATTTGGTGATAAAAACTGTTTTCTGATTTTTTTTTAATTTTTTTTTTATTTGTTTTTAAAGGCAATACCTGATGAGGAATCCATGTCCCACTTTGCCCTACCACCATCAAGTACCAACCCACCACTCTGACACCATAGAGTTCTACCAGAGACTGTCCACAGAAACGCTCTTCTTCATCTTCTACTACCTGGAGGTAATGATTAACCTCATTAGATAATTTTTTTTCCTTCAAGTTTGTGAATTCAAGTTTTGATCCTCTTTCTCTCCTAGGGCACTAAGGCTCAGTATTTGTCTGCCAAGGCTCTAAAGAAACAATCATGGAGGTTTCATACCAAGTACATGATGTGGTTTCAGAGGCACGAGGAGCCCAAGACTATCACTGATGAGTTTGAACAGGTGCAGCTCCTTCACAGTGAAGAACTTGAGATCTCCTGATTTTTTTTTTATTATATTCACATTTCTTTATCACCCTTCTGTCCACACAGGGCACTTACATTTACTTTGACTATGAGAAATGGGGCCAGAGGAAGAAGGAGGGGTTCACCTTCGAGTACAGGTACCTCGAAGACAGAGACTTGCAGTGACGCACTGAGGGGACACGAAAGGACAGAGAAAAAGACAAAACCGTGCTGCTGTTGACATTCCGAGACTGAACGCCAAAACTGTGGATAGAGATTGTGATGTGTAGTAGAAACCCTCTCCTGGAGTGGAGACTGGTGTCTGTATAGGCTGCATCTCAATGCGAAGCCCAAGCTCCTCGTGTAGTGCTTTGCTTTTTGATAAAAACGCCCCGTGGGTCTGATCAAACGCACTGCGCTGCACGAGCTGGGAAGGCTCTCGTTGGAGATCTGCGTTTGTGCCTGTCTGTGTGCACACTCAGTATGTGGCATTAGGAAAGCCTACCCCATGCATGTTTGTTTTGTTTTTTTTCCTTTATTTTCCTGTTTCAACATGATTCTCTACCACACATCCAACATGAGCCTGGAAGCCTTCGACACAAAACAAACTTTGGATTTAAGGTGCCCATCCTGTATTTTCTGTAACGTGGTTTAGGATGGCGATGTCCAGTGGACATTTAGTCATGGTGTGTAGGAATGGCTTCTTTTAAGACCCTACAATGCCTGTTGAATATGGTCACTATTGAAGATAGTGAGCAGTTATCAATAGTTTTATTGATATTTGTCTTGGTCGAATAAAACGTGATTGAGAGTGACCACAGGGCCTCTCCCTGTGACAGGGAAAGAGTCCTTATTGGACATGGATTAAATTGCTATGCAATTGAACTGGTCTCTGACTCCCTCTCTTTGCAAATAAAATGTTTTTAAGTTAAACCTGTCAAATATTATGGCGCCTCCATGTTTGTGACTACTTAATAAACTTGTAAAATAAATATTAGGGTTTGGAGAAATCTTATCTACTTGATGTTTGACCATTTACATTTTGTTCTCTGCAGAAAGGCTACTCTGAGTGCAGTGAATGTAGCTCTACATGAATCACCTCTTGCAAAATATGCCATGTTGGATTAAGAACCCGAATCCGTTCCCCACTTTTAAGTTTATTTCTGTTACATTCATTTCGAGTCAGTGTTCAATTTATCACCTGATATTTAAGTGAAATCCCTATAAGGTGAATGTACACTTGATACAATTGTTTACATGTAGTTTAAACAAAAATGCTAAAATTCAGGTGGCAGATTGAACTCAATGTGTTGCAGAGGAACAGAATTTTATCTTTTGCATCCATTTTTTTTTACGATTAAAAAAAAAAATTATTCCAGATCTTATTGAGTGGGATCAGTTTCAAAGGTTTTGTTTTGTGTAGAAAAAGATGCACAGTTCTGAGAGCTGCATTTTAGAGATTATATTTTTTGGGGGTTCTTCAGATTTTCAGACAGGGGACGGTCAGGAGAAAGCAAAAATGTGAATCTCAACCATTTCCCCCCCCCCCCTCGTCACAGTTCTGCATGGGAGATGTTCTTAAAAAAATGGGACTATAAAAACAATTGTAAAATTTCAATAAATACTTTTAAGAAATATGCATCATCGTGTGTGGTGTAAAGTCCTGTTGGTTGGGATAAATGTTTATTTAAAAAAAAAACTTTAGGTCTGTTCAAAAATTAAAGTTTAAAACAGTTCTCTCCTAGAAGACGGGGCACTGTGGAGTTTAATTTTAATTCAAATGGACAAATAGAAAATACAAGGTGAAGTACAATAGGACGTGAAATATGTTGTGATGCAGCGTGCAGGATCTGCATGTTTGAGGTTTCACATCTTGGATTCCTTTTTGACTTTGAGGAACTCAGCCATGTTGGAGAAATATTTCTGGTTGGCTTCAGCCACCTTCTTCTCTGCAGCCTGTGGGTTCACGATCTCCAGGCCCTGCAGAGGAAAGCAGATAAATGGTGAGATGACGATGAAACCTAACTTAACGCTCTCCTACTGAACTGGTTCTTGCCTGAAGAGGAGTGAAAGCTACACTGGAGCTGGTTCCCGAGGAGCGATCTCTGACTGTGGACTTTCCTCCGTACGTCATGCTCTGCTTCTGCAACGTTCTCTGTCATGAATGACAGAAGGTTCAGCATTAAAGATCATGAAAAAAAAATACTTGGGAGGTGGAGAGTGGAAAAATGAAGCGCTCTGTCAGCGTTTACCTGCAGTGATTTGGAGATCCTCGCCTTGGTGGCCTCGTTGACCTGAGCCTGCCGGACTCTGCCACTGCCGCTCTTCCCCAGCTGACCCAGACTGAAGCCCAGATCCTCCTGATAGGCATCATCTTCGATCTGCAATGTCAGTGAGCCTTATTAGTGTCACTATAGCGCAACAAGCTCAAAACCCCACATCTTATGCATCATTATGTGCTAGTGTGGAAGACTTTTTCATTATCATGTTGTTGACCTTCAACCAAAGATTAAAAGCATGTTAGGAATTTTTTTTGTCTCCAAACCCTATGTGTCATTTTTCACCACTTTTTATTGTCTGTCCAAACGGGTCTCACTTGTAAATGAGTCATCAAGGCTCAATGTGACTTATCGGTTTAAATAAAAGGTTGAATTTAATTGAATTAAGAGCTTCATTATTTATTGCACTAAACAATCCCAAAACAATGCAGTCCATTTAAAGATTTTTTAAAGACACAACAGCTCTCAAAATAAGCAATTTTTCTATGCTTTTAGTTTGAATTCGATATGTGTATCATCTATGATAAAAAGAGAAAAACTAAATACCATTCACTTCCAAAAGTCTACGGCATAAATTTGTAATAAATGACAATTGCCAACAAGTAATTTGTTTACATTTGGTATTAGATTAGATTATTAGATTAGTATTAGATGTTGAAGCCTGATGGGTTAGTTTTTATTAGAGAAACGGTCTCAGCAAGTTAATGATGCCACATTATATAAATCCAAACAGACAGCTGAGAAAATCTCCACAAACCTCAGCGAACGTCATTCTGTTGGCGTGTTTCCGTATCTCAGTCAGGCCGAGACGCTCCTTCATCTTTCGATACCTACAGGGGAAAAAACAGACGAGTGTTGTGTGATAAAGCTTCATATATTTTTACCTGCTGCTTTTCTAAACGCGTGTGCGTGGGTTAATACAAGCTGCTCGTCTTTGCTCTAACGTGTCCTGTTCTTGCTGAATATTTTGTTCCATTTTCCTGAAATGACTAGTTTCAAGAGCTTATTTAAATTTACATTATATAAAGATGTGAATAAACACACCTGGTTTGAATGTTTTTTAAAGAGTACCATGGGTCTGAATAAGGATAACAGTAAAGAAGCAGACATACCTCCTTCCTCCTCTCTTCTTCCTCTGTCCATCCAGTGGAGCTGGCAGCGGTTTGACCTGCTTCACCGGTGGAGGCTCCTGCCATTTATCAAACTTCCTCTCGATCTCTTCTTTTAGATCATAACCAACCTGCAGAAATGAAAGCTTTCATCAGTTTTGCTGCAAGTGGATAATTAAAGACGATCTACGCTTGAGTTGTCAGACCGGAAACAAAATAACGGTGTAATAAATACATTTAGGAGACTGATCTTTAAATATTTTTTCACTGCAATAAAGTGCAGCTGCAGATAAATTTAGCTGGACTGATTCTATAAAATGTCCACCTTTCCATCTGAACTCTCGTGAAAACTGTCCACTCGAGAAGCCAAGGTGCACTTGGCAGCCACCAGACGAGCCGCCTTCCTCCTGAGGTCCTGAAGAAGAACGATTGTCAGTAGCCCACAGCCTTCAGTTAAAAAATAAAATAAATAAATAAACTTATATGCAAATATCAGGCATTTACAGGTGGCAACAGCTGCACAACATCACAGTGGTAGATGAAGCCAGTGTGAGGGAGCAGAGATGTGCTGCTGAAGCCGGACAGGGTTCTCCTCTGAGCACCCAGAAGCATCAGGTTACAAGCCGGCATCTTGGAAAGATTAGTGAGGCCGCCGGCAATACCTGCAGCAAGAAAAGAACAAGAAAGACAAATAGCTAATAAAATCTGCTTTTGTAAATGAATGTGATGCTTTAAAATGTTCTCACCCATAATCTTGGCAGCAGTCGATGCTCCAACAATAATGGACAGGTTCGGGGCTATAAACGACATTCTGGACTCAACGTACTCGTATATCCTGTGTTTGGACTGATTCAGCTCAAGGGCCATGTCACAAGCCTCCTCAAGCTGCTTCAGTTCATCTTCACTTAGTAATGACCTGGAAAATAAAAATCATACAAAAATTAAGTTTGACTGAACACTTCGTAAGTCTTAAAACTGGCAGGAAAGTAACAGATATTCAAAGTGAGATAGTTTACCATCCAGTGACGCCATGTATTAATATCAGGACAGGATTGTGTTGTTTGAAGAACAAACTCACCCCTGTGTGGTCGATGCAGTCACGCTGACAACCATAATCGTGGCATTGGTCAAGATTTGCTGCAGTGTTTCGTTGTTTTTACATTTCTCTAGATTGTTGCCCAGTTCCTTTGCAAGAACAACAAATATGAGATGTTAAAGCACCACATGCACAAAAATTAACCTGTTTGTTTAAATAACACTCAGCATATGTAAGCTTTTATACATTTTCTGTTTAAAAATATCTAGATCAGGGATATTCAACTGGCAGCTCGGGAGCTAAATCAGGCCCACAGAGGAGCTCAGTTCGACCCACCAATGGGTTCATTTTGCTTGCCATAGCCTGCCACCTTCGTCCAGCTCAAGAATCATGCCTGAAGCAACCGTCAAATCAGCTTCATTTCGTTGCGCCGCCCCAGCGAAATGAAGCTGATTTGAACGTTGAAGTGAATTTATTAAGGAAAAGTTCAACTGTGACACACCTTTACTATAACGTCGAGCAAACAAATAATTGTTTTAGCTTGTCATCTTGTTAAATTTTGAAGAAATGCGCAGCATTCCTCCTTCCTGATTTCCTCCCTCTGTGTCCTCCCGGAGCACCGAGGCAGCGAATACTTTTGAAATGCAGCTGATTTGATCATTAAAGTGCATTTATTAAGGAAACAATAAACTGAGACACACCTGTACTATAATTATGAGCTAACAAATAATTGTTTTTAGGTGTTTGTCTTGTTAAATTTCGAAGAATTGCACAGCGAGTCATCCCTCTGCGCACTCACACTTCCGCAAATCGGCTTTTGAAATGCAGATGATTTGAGCGTTAAAGTGAATTTATTAAGGAAAAGTTAAACTGAGACACACCTTTGCTATAATTTTGAGCAAACAAATAATTGCTTTTAAGTGTTAATCTTGTTAAAGTTCTCCTGTGCACACTCCCACAGTTGCCATTTGGCAGCCAAATCGATTTTTGGCACAACACCGGCCCACATTTCCAGGTTGTTAGCAGTGACGCGTAACAAACGTGATGCATAATAGATGCGACTTATATGGCGAAGAAACTTATTTTTTTATCCACTTTATTAGACATATTTGGACTGATGTGACTTATACGGCGGTGCGACATGTATGGCAGAAAATA